AAGAAGGGGAACAGAATTGATGTTAAACCTCTGCTGCATATAATGAATTCATTTTTTAACAGGACCAAAGTCATTCCATGATACATTTCCAATAATAATGATATTTAATATTTATTAAAAATAAAATATTTATTTTACTTTGACAATTGCATGCTGCTATGTCATAAGTCAATAGAAAAAAATTAATAGCAAGTTTTTGTCACAAGAAATTTAAAAACACTAAGATTTAAATGTATATAGTTATTTTTGATATGTGAAAGTAAACCAATATGATCAATAAGAGATTTTTCAATCATTAAAATGCATTACAACATGGAGGTACCATATAAATCCTGGACAGCTCACATTTGGACAATTAACATGTCTTATTTTACATAAGACGGTGTCATGTTTGGGTCTTTGTTATTGTAGCTAAATCTATACAATGATTTATATATTGACACAATTAAAAGCAATCTGGCCTGGAAGAAAATACATTACAATGGGGAATGATAAGATTTAAAGGAGAAAAAGAAATAACATCGCCAAAAGTTGAAGAAGAGCTTGTATGTTTTTTAAAGGGTAACAATTTTTCCCCACAATGTCTAACTCTGGATTAATACACAAAAAAACCTGCTAACACATAGAATCACTTGTAACTTACAAGATTGGAACTTAGTATTTCTCTATGAACTTGCAAATTAGGTATGTCATTTAGGAAAGTTGAATGTCAATAACATTAGTTGGAAGACATAAGATTAGATGAATGAATAAGTGAATGAATGAATGAATGAATGAATGATATATTTTGGCTAACTTGGAGATGCCTCACACACACAAATAATGTTTACTACTCGTGCAAACAATTTTATGCCATGTAACTAAAATTTCAGCTTTAAGTTTAAACAGGCGGAAACAGTGGAATAGTCACAAGAGGGCGCCCAAGCGTTTTTCTGAATACACCAGATACCAATAAGAGAATAAGGAAGAAAACACAAAATAAAAAGATGAGGAATCAGAGAGGGGTCAACGCCTGTTCCAGTCATTTAAAAGAACACGTTGTCGAATGGCAGAACCATTTTTGCATTTATACTATGAAATTTTTATACTAGGCGTTGTAGATTGTAATGCTTTGACACTTAGAAGACAAGAAATGGGTAAACATAATAAAAAAAAATTCACATACCCTAAAACTAGAAGGTCCAGGTTGAACAGCTGTGATAACATCCATGATTCTCTGGAGGGCCCCCCAAACAAGCCGGGCGCCTTCTCGGCTTATCTGCATGTTCCTGCTCTTACTCTCTAAGCTAGTCCATCTTTGTAGTCAACTTTGGGTGTGGTTTCCTCACTTTGTTTGGAATTGTGCTATCAAGTTACAGCACAGAGTGAGAGCACTTGGTGTGACTTGGGAATTTTTTATTCTCCTGGCTGAGCCAAATTAAAGGGACATTAAGATGAATGGCTTTCCATTTGACATCCAGTAGTCTTCCCAGAAATCAGAACTGGACCAAGACCTAAGAGGATGCCAGAGAACCTCTATAACTTCCCAGACCCAACTCCGGAACTCACTAGCCAACCTGATCCCCCCCCCCACCCAGGCTGGAAAAATGTGCTGGACTGAGGCTACGGATAAGAATGTGACCTCACTTAAAATTAAGCTCCAGGGAAGCTTAATATAATGTTTTATATTTGAGAGCAGAGCAGTGTCAAGTGTTGGAATTTTCTCTGGGCTTCATTCCTCTTATTCGATCTCCCAATAATCCATTTATCATGGTTGGCCAGGGGGGTCACAATTTTATCAGTAAGGAATCTAAAGCTCAAGGAGGTAAGCAACTCATTCAGTGTCACTAGCTATTAAATGTCAAGGACAGAAACTGACTCACTCTGGGGACTCAGAACGTAACAGTGAATGTGTATTGAACTCAATCACACTAATGTCTTCTGAGCTAGAAAGAAAATTATCATCTTCCTTTTCCCTCAATTTACAAGTGAGTAAATAGCAGAAGTACTTAGCATGATTTAACACTTGCTAGACCCAGTATTTTCATGGCTTGTTTTTGCTAAGTTTCTTTTTCATGTCCAGATATGATGATTTTTATCGTGTGTGCAATTAAACTTGCACAAAAAATTAAGTCCACATAGTTAGGTCAGCTACTAAATGCTGCTAGGCATGTATCCACTAACAGGCTTTTTAAAAAAAAAATATTTTTCATATTTTTTTAAAGATTTGTTTATTTTTATAAAAGAGCTGGGATACAGGCCAGATGTACGGGAGGGTGAGAGGATTCACCAGAGACAGAGCAGGGAACAGAACAGGCAGACTGACTGAAATACACTGCTGAGGGGAGCAGCGGGCTACACAGGAAAGGTCTGCTGCACCATGTGGGTAGCTCCCTGGCCACCAGGAATCGAACCTATGCTGCAAAGGCTGAAGACAGCTTCACAGCGCTGTGCTCAACCCACTGCGCCAAGGGGGAGGCCCTACTAACAGACTTATTAATAACTTGAGTATAGAATAAAAAACATTCTTATAAATGTGACAATAATAGACAACTGGTGGAGGAGGCTGGTATTTAGGAGAATTGGAATGAAATTTAAAAAGACCTTGACAAACAAAATGAAAGTGAATTAAGTCTGACAGAAAGCATGGCAGAGGGATTCTTTCAAGGGTAGGGGTGGGGGAAACAGGAGGAACACAGGAATGAGGGAGCCCCAAGGTAATTACTGCAGAAAAGGAGCTGAAGGTCAGAGTGAACAATAGGCTTCAAAGGGAGGAATCTAGATCTGTCATTTTTAAAGATATGGCATCAGAAGTACAACAAGAAGGGGAAATGCAAACTAATTCCTCATCTACATTCAAAACAGATCAAGTTCTAGGAAAAAAACAATACTGTGTTTTGTTGGGACCCTGAAATGCTTGAAGTTTGGAAGATAAGATTTTGCTAAGTTTGAAAGGGATTTTAAAAGCTATTCTAAAATAGCTTAAAGTTTTTTATTTTATACCTGATAAAATTAGCCTCAAAAGTGAAAACTCTGGTATTCTGCACCTCTGTTCCAGCCAAGTCTCTCCTTTTTCCTCCATCTGGATACCATCCAGTTTTCAAGAGTACACAGCAGGCATTTCTTCCTCTAGGAGGCCTGCTCTGAGCCCCACCTCTTCACCCTGAGGAGCCCCGCCCTGACCCTCACCTCCCAACATTCCCCCAGAGCACACACTAGGAGGTGAGGTGCTGGCACTGGCTAAGCACCTGACATGCATTGTCTCAGTACTACTCTCAGAAGTGCTCTGGAAGGATTTAGTACTACACTTTGTAGATGAGGAAACAGAGGAATAAAGAGGTTAACAAATTTGTCCACCTTTACCTGTTAGTAAGTAACCTAATGGGGACTTGAACTCAAGCCTGAAGAATGCTAAGCCCATCCTCTCATGGCCTGCTATCAGCCCACGATTGAGCCTGTGGCTCCTTCTTGTCGCACTTAATGTCCCAGTCTGCCTCCACTTACTGGCTGCGGCTCCCTGAGGAAGGCGCCTGCTTCTTCTATTTTCATAGTCTCACATGGGTCTCAATCCATCAATACATGTTCATTAAATGAAAGGGTTTCAAGAAAAGAGATGACATGTTTTAGGAGTATTTCTGAATCAGCTTTTGAACCAAAGGAAAACGAAAATGAAGAAAACGAAGTTAAGGTAAAGTGAATCTAAGCACTGGCAATAAGAATTCTGAACAATGGCAGATTATATTACAGAAGCAGATTATTTTATGAAAGGTGGTCTCGACAATTTCCTTTTTGTGGAAATTTTAGGAAATGAAAATAATTAAATATTTATACATCTATCTATGTTTATATATGTGTGTATGTGCACCTACTTAGCTATTCATCATCTTTCTTCAATGTCATTTTACCTAGAGGAAAAGACTATAATATTTTAACAGCCATGAACTCAGGGGAGCTTGCTGGACAGAGAATTCCTACTAGAAAAGACTCCAAATCCTAAATGACATGTAATCACTAGATTAATTTGTCCAATCTGAGAACACTATAATTTTTTCTCCTCAACATAAGAGATATTTTGCAAATAATCTAGTCTTAATTTCTGAAAACAAGAACAATGAAAATTCAAATATATCAAACATAAAGGGTATTATATATTTTATTGTCACAGTCATTTCAGACAACATGCTAGTAGCCCAAAGATACTGGTGATGAACATAAGTGCCTACAGCACAGGATAAAATATTTCTGAAGATAGCATCATACTCTCCCACAACTCTGCAACTGGCAGTGTAGTAAATTACTATCGACATATTACTACTACATTCCTGCCCCTGCTGATAATGGAGCCAATTCTCAGCAGCAGAGCTAACATGGAGCAGAGAGAAGCAGGTGGTGAGAGAGAGCAGGCCTCTCATTTTCCGTATTCTCGTGATTTTTAACTATTACACACTAGCCAGGTTCTGTGCTGTCTTGCCCAAGTCAAATCTGACAACAGGAGACCGAGGGCACATATTCACAGAGGGGCTAGGAGGTATAACTAAGTGATGACGCTAAGAATCCAACCATGGGGCAGCCACATGGCTAAGCTCTATTCCACAAATAAAACCTCAAAATGTCTGTCGAGAAACCAAAATAAGAACATTGAAGCCATCACCAAATGGGATTTATAAACTATATACAGAGAATTCTCAAATACATTAACTCCCACCCAAATACATTCCAACACATGACCCTCTCACTAGGCAAACTCCCAGCCAGCAGGTCCTGTGAACTTGCCAAGAACATTCAGGAGCTACGAAGGTTTAATTGACAACACAGAGATCAGGCTTTTCCAGTGTTTACCTGTGTTTACTGCTTAGAAGGACAACTACACATCATCTTAAAAATCCAAGCAATATATTGCAGAAGCTAGAGAGAAAGACAGTACTATCAGCTTTTATAACAAAGTCCAGGAACAGAAGGATTAAAAAGCAGGAAAAAAATTTCAGCAAGGGCACGCCAACCCCATAAAATGCATAACTCACAAACACAAAAACAAACATTTCTTCAGGGACCCGAGAGCTGAAGTTGTCCTTGGCACCATCGACATGAAGTTCTCTGTGTTTTCCAGGAGGTGGGACAAAGTAGGTCTTGCCTCACTGAGCCACACATTCTAATAGGTTGGCCACAGAAATGAGTATTTACACACTACATAGTGCGCAGGATGGGGCCAGTCACACTGCCAAATCTAATCTTCACTTGGATGATAAGCAATTTGTCCTTCAAAATCTAAATGAGCAGGCTCAGGGTTTTCTGTCTTCCACATTTTTTGGTTTTCTCTCTTATGCAAAGCCGTGTGCTCGTCTTCATCGATGCATTGTTTTAGGGTGGCAACAGTGCTAGCTAAGCCCTTCCCACCCCAAAACAGGACAATGGTGGTCAGGGGCAAACCTGCCCCTGGCTGAGATGTCTCCAGAAGCTCTAGATGTGTAGCAGTTATATTTTAAAACAGGATTTTAAAAATTGTGTTCCACAGCAATTGGTTTGAATTCAGTAAGTGTTCTAAAGTTAGAATTGAAAGGTTTTATTGAGTTTTATAGGATTATCTAAGTCTTTCATATTTTAAGTTTTCTTCATCTAGCCCAGAATCATAGCCAACCTGTAACGGCAAATAAGATGTCATCATTCAACAAACAGAATTTAGTCTACTTTGTGTCTCTAACCTTGAAAAACAGCAATAATTGAGATAAATGTTACTATACATCTCAAAATGCCTAATCTTTTGACCCTAACAGTTACATGTTTATTATTATTCTAGCGCCCTCTCCTTAATAAAAAAAATTCACAAACCAGGTTAATACCAATTGTCACTATTATAAGGCTTAATTGAATAGAAATAGAGAAAGCTACATGTTTTTTGATGTCATTTGGGGTTATTATTCCTTTACCAATTGCCATTTAAAGCCTTGTCTTTATAATAATTTCCAAAGATAAGTCTTCATATAAATGATATATGATTTTTAAAAGTTGAGAAACCATGTTTTAAGTAATCTTTTTTTTAAAATGTATTCTTTTTTTGTTTTTTAAGATTTATTTCTTTATTTATACAAGCACTGGGTACAGTCAGAAGCGCGGGAGGGTGAGAGAATTCACCAGAGCCAGAGCGGGGAGCAGAGCAGGCAGAAGGACCAAAGTACACTGCTGAAGGGAGCAGCGGGCGGCAGGAGAGGTCTGCGTGCCATGTGGGACCCTTGCCCGGTGGCTGGGGATCGAACTGGCGCTGCAGAGGCTGCGAGCAGCTTCACAACCCAGCGCTCAACTGCTGTGCCACCGGGGAGGCCCATTAAGTAATCTTCTTAAAATGAGATCTATTCATACAGCTTTATAAGACCCCACCCAAGCTTGCTTATTACTAATTATTAGCATAAGTTCTTCTAGTGTTCGGAAGACCTTTGAGCTCTAACTTGATAATGTTCTCTTTTGGGAACAGATTTAGCCAAAAATCTGCTAGTCACACTATCAATACTGCCTTAAAAATGAGGGCTTCAAATGATCCTTTTGGAAGCAAGATGTTGTAAATCAGAAAATGGGATTGTTTCATTAATATCTTTGTGAATATTTTGTGTGGTTCCTTCCACATTGAGCAAGAAGAGTAAAAACTTCTCAAACTACAAAATTCCATAGTTTTTGCCTTTCAAAAAAGATAAAGTACAATAAACAACAAATTCGACATACATAAGTAAGTAGTCAAAAATCATAGGCAAGCTCATTCCTCAATGGACAACTGTAACATTCAACTACAAAGCATTCTTATAATTGTGATTTTTAGGTCTTAGGTTAAATATGGTCAGTCAGGCATGGCACATACAGAAGATGGAAAATATACAATTTAAACAGATCAAAGAAAAGGACTTCTTTATAAAACCAACAGCCCCAAACAATTACAACCCTACCAAAACAGTCTATTTGCTTTATTGGCTCAATAGTTGTTTTTTAAATAGTTTTATCAATTGTTTTATAGATTCTAGTAACCTATGTCATCTAAAGTTACATGATGTTCTTATCAAATACAGTGAACAATAGACAAAATAATCCAACAACTTAACTGCCAGCCCATTTGTATCATGAAAGTACAATTTATGAAAAGAAAATTCTCTCTGTGCAAAGGCTGGATCTAAAGATAAAATATAGTTGGCAACATAACTAAAAACACCACTTACTGACGTCTGCATATTTGATTAATGGTTAAACATAGTGATTAACAAAATCAAGAGTAGGAGCTGGAAAAAAGAATATATTCTTCCCACAAAGAATCTGTTTGGACACTGAAACAATAGTGTAAGTGCTTTTATTTCAGTCCACAGGCATATTATTGCTATTTAGAAATATAAGGGGAATATAATATTGCCCAGCATGTAGTTAAATAGGTAAAGAATAAAAGAAGTCATCATAATACAACTTGCCTCTGATAAAGGAAAATTTTTAATTATCACTACTTGAAGTCTCTTAGGCTTCTTTTCATCTTTCTAGAGCTTTAACTCTATTCACGAATGTCTTTCATCTCATTTGCTCTCCTTTGACTGATGGTATTGGAGAGCTTTTCTAATAACACAAACTGACATTACATCCACTCTATTTGTTGATAGAGAAAAAGTGTGTTTTTCTATTTGCTAGAGTATGAGACATAAAATGGATCAAAAAATATATAAATAAGCATACACTGAGGCTAATATTAGGGAGCTATGGCTAGTCCCCTAAATCTTTCAGGACAACATGCTGCTGACTACGAACCGTATCTAACTTTGTGAAAACTTCAAAATTCTATTTTGTCACAAAGCGAGTTACACGGTGACAGCTGCCAGGTCCTCTGCTCAGAACCTTGTGCCTCTGCAGGGAGGTCTAAGCTAAAGGTCACCGGGTGCCCAAGAGAGACAGCGTTTCCTTTTGAAGCTGGAACATTTTAGACCTCCCAGTGCTTAGGCATTCTGTGCTTGCTCTCCACATCATGGATAGTCCCTTGAGGAGGAAGCACCAGGCCCTTTTATCATCTTTATTTGGCTAATGATCTATAGGTTATTTTTAATGTGTGCTTTGGAACATCCGTATCCAAAATGGTGGCAGGATCAATTTGTTAGACTCCAAAATCTGTTGCTTTAGACTCTTCACAAACCTTTAGACTCTTCTAGAGACTTACTCCACCCACAAAGATTTTTTTTTTTAATAGCAAAAGATCATGGGAAGTGAAGAAAGATATCTTAAGGAAAGCCATAAAAGGTAGAAGGGCATTTACTTTTAAAAGGTCAGGACATTTTTGGAAGGAAAGGGATAGTTAGAAAGTGACAGAGGTTTGAGAAAATAAAAACTACCACCAGCAGTAACATTTATTGAGTTCTGTTGTCCTAGTCTCTATGCTCTCCACAGATGATCTCATTCAATATTCACAATGGCCTGGAAGGCTAATCATGACTAACATTCTCAGCTTCAAGATGAGGTAGAGATGTTTGGATAAGTCAAGTGGCTCTGCCAGGCTCATAAACTGAACCACACCAAGTACTGAATGGCACTGCTACACCTTGAATCCAAATTTGCAGTGGCACAGAAGTGGGCCAGAATTCCCAACCAAGCCTTAAAAACCAACATTATGAAAAGAGGAAGACCTAGAGAAGACTAGTGTTAGATTTCTGGAAAGGAATACAGGAATAATCTAAACATAATTAAGACCACATTTCTGCCCAGAGACACAGGGCCAAGACAGTGACAGAATTATGACACTGTCACAATTTTATCACTTGTGTACAACAATCAAGGTACATGATGACCAGGTGATTCATGTGAGAGCCACCAGGCACCACTGCTGATTATCACTATATGCTCCCATCACTAACCCTTCTGTGTTGCTGTCTGCATTGAGATTTCAGTGAATACAAGCAACATTCTTGCTATTATTATTATTTGTATGCAAAGATAATACTTTCTATATCACTACCATCTTTAGAATGTATGATTGGCACTGTTTCTTGGTGAAAGTTTTGTCTTAAACTTTCTTCTTTCTTGCCTATTTTCCCACACAATTATAGCAATTAAATATTTTTCGACTTAGAAAAAGAAATGTTGGTTTTAATGCGCTTGGATACATAATAAGGTAAATTCATCAACAGTTCTGAATTTCATTTTTCCTACTCCTACTAAGGAAAAACAACTACTTTCTATATGATGTTAAACTAATGATTTGTTCTGCTGCCATGTATGCATCAGAGAAAAAAGAAAAGACTTAGCATTTAAACTGTTTGCATCTATAATAACCTTTTTTCAGTCTGGATAATGTCAAGGACATTTGATGACCACATCAGAGCAATCAACCTTCTCCCCTTTTTATTTGAAAGTGACTCACCAAAGATGCCAGAATAAGATTAGAAAAATATTTATTGCTCTTTTGAATATGGGTAAAGAACTTTCTTTGCTGGTAGGGTCAACACAATTATTTTTCACCTTATGACAGTTTTTAGAAGATAGGCAGAGAGAGTAGTTACTCACATTCTCCTTGTCAGGAATCCCTAAAAGAAGAAAAAGAGAGAGAGAGAGAGAGAGAGAGAGAAAAAAAAAGACCATGAGTTGTAAGATCAACCTATACATGGAACTGAAATCCTTTGCTAAATCAAGGCAAGTAAAATTTTGATGTTTTCAATCTGTTTCTATAAAGACTTACATAATGCTGTTTAGAAAAATAATAGAACCTACCAAAATCTGTAAATAAATTGATGAATCAGGAATAGGACTGTGCTAGACAACAAAATCTCATGCTTATTTTGCTTTTCTACCATATTTTTCTTCTCCAGAGGTAAAAAGCCATACCTGATTACACCATGTGCGCAGCTAACACAGAACCCTCAGAATTCTGGACAGATGCATGAACTCTGAAGTGCACATGCTTTGTTTTTACATTGTAAACCAGGGATTTGAATACAGTGGCAGTTTGCACATAAAAATAGCTAGAATACAACATCCACTTTGAGCAAAGTCATCTCCTATTGCCTCCTTGTCAGGCGTGAGCACAGCAGTGGCTGTTTTCACAGTAAGCTCAGTTTTCTTAGCTAAAAAGTTCATCATCGTCCACTCTATTATTTGTTCCTTCATTTACAAATACGTCATGAGAATCTACTACAGGCAGGTCAGAGTCCTTTATACTTCCTCTGGGGCTGCAACCGTGACTGACAAGGTGGAGGCCATACTGGAATGTTCACAGCCCCAGAAGAGCTTATTGGCCCTGTATGGCGGGTACAGCAGACATTATACCAAGAAGACTGGCGCACAGGTGGTTATATGTGTGCTTTGCATCTAGGCTCAGACCACTAGGCAGAGAGAGATGTTTTGCAATGTAAAAATACAGTATGTCAAAATTCTGAGTAAATAGATCTTCTTTGTTTAATAAGGGGGTCACAGGACTTATAATATTGTCCTTAAAAGAACTGAGTGCCCATCCTAATAGACAGCAGCAATACAGAATGCAGGAGGGATCAAACCATCTCTTAAGCTTTGACCTCCAAATTGGGAGAGGACACACACACAAAAGGTAGGGCAAGAAAGGGGGAAAAGAGGGGTCTTCTTTCAAACAGAGAGTATTAATGGGCATGTTTGCCATTAATTTCCAGATCTCTCAGGAATAGAAAGATTGGCTTAATATCAGTTCTCTAAAACTTGACTTGAGTCCTTCCTTCCCTTCTTCCTTCCTTCTTTCCTTCCACCTTTCCATCCATCTACACATCCATCTTTCATCTTTCCATCCATCCGTCCATCCATCCATCCATCCACACAACAGTCACTTGAGAGGACTGGAGTCGATTGTATGAGGAGATCCAGGGGTGTAACGGAATGTTTAATGAGACATAGTTGCACAAAT